CGCCGGCGCCCGCCGGGACGAGCGCGCGGCCGCGGCGCCCGCGCCGACGCCGCTGTCGCCGCGGTCGTCGGCGGCCGCGCTCGCCGAGGCGACGCGAAAAATCGCGGAGCTCGAGGCCGCGCTGCAGAGCGCCCAGGCCGAGCCTGAGGTCGTCGAGCGCGAGACCTTCGTGGAGGTCGTCCGCGAGGTGCCCGCGCGGCCCCCGCGTCCGACGGACGGCGACGCGCGTCGCGTCCGAACGGTCCGCGCGCCCGCGCGTCGCGACCCCCCCCCCCCGCGCGCGGCAGGTCGACCGCGTCGTCGAGCGCGAGAAGATCGTCGTCCGGGTCGTCGAGGGCGAGGCGCCGGGCGACGAGTCCGGCGAGAAGGCGCGGCTCCTCGCGCTCGTCGCGAGCCGGGCGGGAAACGAAAACAGTACGACTTCAACGCGCGCGTATTCGCGCGGGTTCGACTGACGCGTGTCACTCTGTGAAAGGAACCCACCGAGAGCCATCGATCCGTCCAGAAATCCGCCGAATCGACTTCGACGTGACCGAGCTCGAGAGGTTTGAAGTTTGGTGACCAAAAGCAGTGGTTGGTTTCCCGCACAGGTCGCGAGCCTCGAGTCGGCGCTGCGGGACGCGCGGAAGGGCGGCGGCGGCGAGCGCGGCGGCGCGCCGGGCCCCGGGGACCTGCCGCTCGCGGACCTCGAGGCGGCGCTGCGGGACGCGACGCGGAAGTGCCTCGAGGGCCGCGGCGACGAGCGCGAGCTCGAGTCGCTGGGCGCGGCGCTCGCGCGGCACCCGGAGCGGCGCGCGGCGCTCGCGCGCGAGCGCGCGGCCTGGGACGCCGCGCACGCGCCGGCGGGCGCCGCGGCGCTGCGGCGCCTGCGGTCCGTGACGCCGCCCTGGGTCGCGTCGCGGGGCACGAGCCGGCGCGAGCTCGAGCGCGCGGGCCTGCCGCGGGCCCTCGCGGCGCGCGTCTTCGAGGAGCGCGCGCTCTGGCTCGCGCGGTTCCCGCGGCGCCGCGTCGCGAAGATGGCTTTAGCGGACCTCCGGCGCCTGAACCTGCACCGCCTCGACCTCGACGAGCTGCGGGGCGTCTACGCGTGCCTGCCGCCGGCCTTTGCCTGCGACGGCGACGGCGCCAAGGCCGCGTGGCGCGAGGCCGCGCGCGAGCGGCTCGTGTCGCTCGCGCGACGAGCCGCCGACGGGTCGCTCCCGCCGCGCGACGCGAGGCACGGCGCCTACGGCGACCTCGGCGGCGATGGGCCCTTCGACCCGGACGAGCACGACGCCGACGACGGCATCGCCGCGCAGTCGCCGGGCGACGCGCGCCGCGGCCGCGACGCCGAGCTCGCGGCGCTCTCCGAGTGCCGCCGCGCGTCCGCGCCGCCGAGCCTCGCGCGCGCGCCGCGGCCCCGCCGGGCGCCGAAGAAGCTCGACGCCGCGGACCCGCGCAAGTCCATGCTCGCCGCGCTCGGCCCGGGCCTCGCCGCGGGCCTCCGGAAGGCGCCGCCGCCGCGCGACCGCGCGCCGCCGCCGCGCGACCGCGCGCCGCCGCCGCGGGACCGCGCGCCGCCGCCGCCCGCCGCGCCGCCGCCGCCCGTCCCGGGGTCGCCCAAGGGCAAGACGGACTAAGCGCGCCTCCCTGTGGCCCCGCGCGAGAGCCCCGGGCCCCGGCGCGACCGCCCGCTCTGACGCAAGTTCTGACGCGGCATGCTCATCATCTTCCTCAAGCGCGGCGTCAACGTCATCAACGTGGGCCGCACCCATCCGCCAACGCCGCCCGA